CGTCTAATTTCACATTTGACCGAATTTGACATAGTTCTAGTTAATTTCCATAAAATACTGGAATTGTTCAGAACTTACTTAAGAACAGGGCGACAGGAACTTCGTCGTCTTTTCTTTGTGAAATAATTCTCTGATTAAGCAATTCACGCGGTTCAGAATCGGCTTGGAGGGCGAGCCAGGACGGATAAATCTCGATTGGATTATGTCACACTGATGATTACCCTGTCAACCTATGCGGACGATACGTACGAACCCGAAACGCATACTAGCCACCAGCAATATCAAAGAACATCTTGAGCTTATCTAAAATTGGTTCAAAAATGGAAATGAAATTAAAAAAGAGCAACTCTTACAGGCCATAGACTATACATTGATCCACTCAATTGAATTATTTAGACTTTACCAAGACAGGAGATTGATGTTGAATGCCTACGTGACTTGGTGTGGTCCTCAGAAGAATTTCCGATGCTCCCTGCTACGTCTCAAACCTCATCATCCACAATTTCATAAACGTTTCCTTCCTTCAAGACTTGATGACTCTAACTATTTGTCTCACCCTAACCCCGTTCAAGCTCACATCCCCTAAATCCTAAGTCGTCTGAGAGGAGCACATGTCAAATGTATCAATACATATAAAATAAATAAAAAATATAAAATATTTAGGTTCACATTTAGGCCATTTGGTGATAGGTAAGTTAAAAAGGTTTTTCTAGTTGATAGGAACCAAAATTTTAAACATTTTTATTATGGCAGACGTAACAATTTAAGAGAAAGTATCTTTAGGTTTTTCCAGTCTAGTTCTTGCTAATGCTCTTCAGCCAACACTGTCCATATCTAAAATTAAATTATAAAGTCGTAAAATATTCAGATCCTTAAAGGTAAATCAGCATTTCAGCGTAGATAATGCTAGGCATATCCTGGAGTTGAGCTGTTTATTACGTGCTTCTCCCCCGCAATTACGCCTTTAAATTTCAGCTTTGGCGAAACCGGAAAAGAATCGAAAAAAGGGTCAAGGATTATTCAATTCTTTTGAATTTTTCAAACTCGTCATCACGGACTCGACGAAAATGAGCGGTTTTTTTAATGGGCCGTTCTGGCGTTCAGGCCTATCCGTATAATTGGTTATGACCCTTGTAAATTTGATCAAAAATTGTTTTGAGCAGGAAATACTTCGATAAACGGAGGGAAAATAAATTGTCTGTTATTTCCTGAAATATGTTTCAAACCAATGGTTCAGCATATTATCCAGTTATTAATTAAGGTGAAAATCAGAAAAATTCTTATAATGTACTATTTGGATTTTCATTTTTATTTACCTATTCTCAGGTGAAAATTTAAAAAATCATAAGACTGATTTGACGACTGCAGAAGAGTTCGTGACGCGGCGCTCGCGCTAATTTATTAGCGATTTTAATCCATTACGGGAAGAAATAAAATTAAATTTATTTAGAAATCGTGAGATGCGGTCTGGTGTGATGTAGGTTTCAGAAAAACATTTTCTTTATCGGGCCAACGTTTCGATCTTTATTGAGATCATCTTCAGGGCTCAGAGTGTTTATTTTCTGTGTAGATGTGTCACTTGACAGTGCCCTCAACACAATAGAGATATATCAAAAATATTATCAATATATCACAGAAAGCAAAGTGACAAGAATGACACATCTACAAGGAAAACAAACACTTTGAGCCCTGAAGATGATCTCAATAAATATCGAAACGTTGGCACGATAAAGAAAATGTTTTTCTAAAACCTACGTCACACCAGACCGCATCTCACGATGTCCGAATAATTATTGATTAACGGTCACTAAACACCACGCGTTGTAATTTAAGAAAAGTTTTTTTCAGGCTGGTTGCACGTCATAAAAAGAAGAAACTTTGTGTTGTTATACGATTAAATTCTGGATTTGGCGACAGGTTCATAGTGGTTTTATTTACGGTCCCTTAATAGTTTTATATGGTTTATGTATAGACTCGATAAAGAATTTAATCATTTTTAGATAAATGTATGATTTTATCTTCTTCTGAAAAAACTAATTTCATGAATCATAGTTATTGTCTTCCCAAAGGTCGATTTCATTTTTTGAAATGGCGCAATGTTTTAATTAGCCGTTATAATTTACAATCGGCTCTCTTGATGAGATTGTTTTCTAATAGGTTCAGCCTACTTTAGCTGATAAGGAAAAATGTTGAGTAAATGAAGGTCTGATGTACTAACATGGAACCTCTTCAGTCCAAAATAAAGTATTTCAATTAGACGTAGCCATTGTTAACATAGACTGATATCAAAAGGTGATTAAATAAAGAAAAATTTAATTTACAGATCAATTAATTTTTTTATTGTGTGCTCTTATGGATTAATCTGTCAGTTGTAATTGAAAAATGAATGGAATATTTTTGGACAAGTGTCACACTTGGTAAATACCAAAGTTGAAAATCTACCGAGACGGACCAAAAAGTGGCTCAAAAGGACAAAGGAAGTACTCCTCATGTGTACAGAAGATCCTTATCCTTTTGTTCACCCACTAACATGAGCTTTCTTAAGTTTCGTGTAGGTACGTTGCGACATCAGTCCACTTGCGATAAAACGTGTAATGCCTGGTTAGATAACAATATTTGAAAGTAAAAAAAATATATAGTATTAATTGCGTAGTCGAGATCACACCAGACCGCATCTCACGATCTCCGAATAATCTAAATTACAACTTTGAATATAACAACAAATATGAATATAATGAAAACACCAAAAATCCGCGAAATACTGGATCAAAATTGACTGAATAGAATTGTCATATTGAACTAATTCTGACAAAAAGTATGAAGGGTCACATTTCAAAATTCGACCACATAGAACCTTTCAGTAATACAAGGTTTTTGATTGAAGAAACAAAAGAATTTAAGTTAGATATTTAAAAAAAAAATTGTTGATGTTCAAACAGTTTATCGAAAAGGAAATTTTGTACTAATTTCCTACCAAAAATGCACATTAGTGGTTAAAAATGCTATTGCTATCGCCCAAAATAAATCTTTTGATGTTGAAAATTGGATCATTTAAATCGAAATAGTGTGAACCGTCAGAGGGAAGAATGATGGGTCAGGTAAAATACGAAATAGTTTACAAAAACTACCAGCGAAAATAGGAGGACCAATTAATAATAAATTATCACCAGTTGTGATAATTTTCTTGATCAAATGAATTCCAACCTTCATTATATACAACGACGAATTTTAAATTTTCGCACAATGAAATTCAATCTCGAAGTTTCAGTGCATTCTCGTTAGAATTCCCGTAAAAAGTAGTTTTAAAATTGGTTTTTCGATGATACTTTATATTCCACTTTTTAAAAAACCAGGTGAATTTTAAACTGCTCATTCAAAAACGAAGTGTTGTAATTCATACCTAAAAGCACATGAGATGTCCAAGACGCTTTCGTTATTGTTCAGTATAAAATATTTTGATGCGGAGCAGAGGATGTACTTTATAACAATAGTAGGGGAATTCACGATGTTTGTAAGATGTTAACTCGTGTTATAGAGAAATGTTCAGTAAGATCGTGAACGCCGGTTCTTTTCTTAGCATGTTAAACGTTAATTTTTCTCCAATGCTACGCGTGGCGATTGGTAGAACCAAAAATAAAGCAGTAACAGTCCTTGAAGGCTTTTGTTGTTTGTTTTGGTTTTCTTTTGTGTTAAATTATAAGATGGCAGAAGTTAATAAAAAAGGAAAATTAATCAACACTTTCATTCAAAATACTATCAATGCACTCGAAAAGTACTAACAAATGATGAGCTTCAATTCGTGCCGACATACCTTACCTGTATCCTAACCTCTAACAGCCAACAACTTTATAGGATAGGGGATGTATCTATTATGAATGAGTCTGTAAAGACAGATCAGAAATTAAAAAAAGAAGGTCTGATTTAATTAATGCGTATTTTAGATAAAAATACATGTAAACAAAAAACAGCTGCTAAATTCATGGCTGCCATGTTGGTTAGCTATGCCCTAACGGATAGGAAAGTGACTACATTTTCGACCTAACACCTAACATTGGCCCTGGCATGTTAGGCCGAACAATTTTAACTAGCCGATTCTTACAAGTCTATTCATCATTTTTCTCGATCTAACAGGACGTAACAGAGTTAACAGGGTTAACACAAAGATCGTGAATACCCCTAGTATGAATTTTCAGAGTAAACGGTGATTTTTCGAGAAAGGTGAGGATTAACAAGATTAAACACACAATTAAGAAAGGAAGTCTCACAAATTGAATCCAGCCTTGTGCTGCTTGTACAATGAAAACCTATATGTGTTTGTACATTCATCCCCCTTTCCTGAGGAACACCCCATACAGACGGTCACGGCCAAATTATTTATATTTAAAACTATGAGGGGTAGGATGTTCTAAACCCGTTTATGGTCCATTCCTTTGAGAATTGTTCATAATTGAGAGCTTATAATCTTGTTTCTCTCGTTTTCTATTAAGCTGACTGTGGTCTACTAGGCAAAGGGATCCTGCATTACCAGCTTAGTTATATCAATTTGATTTTTTCTGTTCAAACGCGAGTGTATCCACCTCTCAGATTGGACTTAGACCAAGCTTAAAACAGTTGAATTTATTAATACCATACACGGGTTGTGAGTTTGACTGGCGATTGCGCCCGACTGGGACATGTGCATTTGGAAAAAAATGAAAGAGGCCGTCAATTAGCCGATGCGGGACGTTTCAAAGCAGTCATTTACCGAGTGCAATTAATGACTCACTAGATGTGGGAGCCGGAACGAAAAGCAGTTACAGTCCGCTCACAATTGACGTCGATTGTTCTACGAGCGGAACGGCGCGGCGGTTCTGAGCGGCATAAAATACCCCTTTTATACCTCAAAACGTGAAGCAAACAAGCTATAAATCACGAGTTTCACTCCTGCGATCCAAAATTCCTACTTCCGAATTGTTTACCCGAGGTAGTTATGTAAAAAATAAAACAAGTTTTATACTCACAAATTAGAAGGGAGAACATCTGTTGAACCCTCTGCGTTGGTAATCCATTTCTGAAAGAGAAAAACATCATATTAAAATGTGCTGTCCCATTTGATTTTTTTACATACAAACAACGTGAAAGAATGTTCTAATTGTTAAAATGTATAAAAAGACAGCATATTGATTATCGCGCGTAGACGAGCCAAAAGCAAATCACATTTATTTAACTAGCCCTCTGGAATGGATTGTTCATTCTAAAAAATTTAAATATTTGTCTTTAATGTTAATAAAATAGATTAATAAACTTAAGAAGACATTTTCAACCTATCTGAGGTTCTAAGGTATAAAAATTTATTGATTTTATGAATTTTCTATAAAGCTTTCACAAGCAACAAGTTATCTCAAATTTATAACTATGTTAAGAAGTTTTACTATTTATTTACCATCATAGGTAAATTTCGTTAACAAATGTGGTTTTGTTGTTGAAAATAAAATATATATAAATAAAATATGTCTGTGTACCTAGCGTATATTGAGAGTGAATGTATTTATTAGCGCGAATGTGTAATGTGAGAAGGTATATTTAGTATTCCACCACCCTAATTGAGAGAATGATACTAAATAGGAAAGAATGTGCGAGAATATGAATGGGTTCAGATCTAGGAAGTGCATGCTGTGTGTGCTGAATTGACCTAGGTGTTGACACCACCCGGAGCCCAACCACGGTGGCTGGACGTTAGAACCGAGGTCTGCCAACACCAGAGGCTGGTGATTCTTGAGGGCTGCCGGAAATTTATTGACTTCAAAATCTGGACTGCGAGAAAGGATAGATGTACATCACTACATAGACGAGAGCAGGTTTGTGCCTATCGAAATCCAAACTAAAAAACATATTTGAGAGAGTGTTAGGATGGGGTTGACGTATAACATTGAATTTTACTAATTATTGGGAAATCGTGAGATGCGGTCTGTTGAGACGTAGGTTTAGAAAAACATTTTCTTTATCGTGCCAACGTTTCGAATTTTATTGAGAACATCTTCAGGGCTCAAAGTGTTTCTTTTATGTGTAGATGTATCATTATTGTGTGTTGAGAGTGCCAGTGCGATATTGATCAATACAATACAGATATATCATCAATCTCAACACAACCCACAATAATGACATATCTACACAAAAAACAAACACTTTGAACCCTGAAGATGATCTCAATAAAGATCGAAACGTTGGCACGATAAAGAAAATGTTTTTCTAAAACCTACGTCACATCAGACCGCATCTCACGATCTCCAAATAATCATTAATGATCACTAAACACCACACATTAATATTTATTAAAAAAAAAATATATATATATATATATACATAATAATTTGACTTGTTTTCTAAAGAAAATAACTTTATTCTACGCAGTTGCATAATTCTAAAGTTATGTTTTTAAATTATGTAATAGAATTAATAATTAGGATATTAAAAATGAAGAAGTTATCTATGACATCCCCGTTGTATTTTGATTATAGGACAAGATAAAAAAGCACATTTGTCAGAATATGTCGAATATATATTTAAACCCGTGGTCCACATCTGCTCTTCAAAAGCCGAGATGTGACTTGAGTTTTAAAAAAAACTGGAAACCATATTATTCTAGGCACAGAGGAGATTTTTATCATTTTCTTTATTGTTAATTTCGATATAAATCTCAAATAACCGCCCGGTTTGTAGGTCAATCCCAGGGATGCTGAGGCGACCGTACGATCCCGTCCCGGTGATCATTTATCTAGGATGGATTATGCAAATAGTTCTTGAGCTCTATTGCAAAACAAGGACATTGAGAAGCAACAAGAGCGATTACGCTTCGTTTGAAAAAGTTGACGTAATGCCGGAAAGATACGGAATTCTAGAAAAGCGCATTTTCAAAAAAGATAAATTTAAACTTAGCAACAAATGTATAAGGCGGACCTTAAAAGTGAACATTAAGCTGAATGTATGGAAATTCATCCAAGCGTTAAAATATCCAAATTAGTAGGGGTATTCAAGATGTAGGTGAGATGTTAACTCGGGTTAACTGGAATAGAGAAATGTCCAGTAAGAATGTGAAGCCCCTTTTTTTCTTAGCATGTTAAACGCTAATTTTTCCGCAATGCTGCGCCACCCAAAATAAAGCTATAACAGTCCTTGAAGGCTTGTTGTTGTTTGTTTTCGTTTTCGTTTGTGTTAAATTGAAAGATGCCAGAAGTTAATAAAAAAGGAAAATTAATCAACTCTTTCATTCAAAATGCTATCTATGCACTCGAAAAGTAATAATGATGCGCTTCAATTCGTGCCGACATACCTTACCTGTATCCTAACCTCTAACAGCCAACAACATTATAGGATAGGGGATGTATCTATTATGAATGAGACTGTAAAGACAGATGAGAAATTAAAAAAAGAAATGTATTGGTCTGATTTAATGACTGCATATTTAAGAACAAACATACGTGTAAAGAAAAAACAGCGGTTAAATTCATGGCTGCCATGTAGGTTACCTACGCCCTAACGGAAAGCAATGGGACTACATTTTCTACCTAACATCTAACATTGGCCCTGGCCTGTTAGGTCGAACAATTTTAACTAGCCGATTCTTATAAGTCTATTCATAATTTTTCTCGATCTAACAGAGTTAACAGGGTTAACAGGGTTAAAACAAAGATCGTGAATACCCTTAGTATGAATTTTCAGAGTAAACGGTGATTTTTCGAGAAAGGAGAGGATTAACAAGATTAAACACACAATTAAGAAAAGACGTCTCACAAATTGAATCCAGCCTTGTGCTGCTTGACCTAACACCTAACATTGGCTCTGGCCTGTTAGATCGAGCAATGTTAACTGGCCGATTCTCACAAGTCTACGTCACCATTTTTCTCGATCTAACAAGACCTAAAAGACTTAACTGGGTTAACTCAAAGATCGTGAATACCCCTAGTATCAAATTCTACTAATTATATTTCCAAGAATGTACATATTTTTAAAGTGTTGCAATAAATTCAGAAAATGGTTGTTAGACACGTATCAATATTTAATTTTATTGGATTATTTTATATTAGATTTGTTTTTATATTAGATTTCCCGTCACATAAAGGGAATAAAACATGTCGAACTCTTGAATAAAAGAAGAAGCGAGAATATGCGGACCAGCGGGATGCGCAGAAAACTATCGCAACCTATCGCCTAAAAGTAAATTAGAATAGTATTGATGTAGAATTATATTATAAAAATAAACCAGAGTGGGCGGATTAACTAAAGCGCACAGTGATAATATAATTTTAGTCCACTGTTACAGCATAAATTAATACATTTTATATCATTCCATGATATTTTACGGCAAACAGTAAGTCAGTTCGGACTGTTCCAAATGTCAAGTTTTAAAACAAGCGAGACCAGACGTACCAAATAAGGTGATCCGCTGTCACATAAATTCACGAAATAGTCGACTAAATTAAGAATAGAACAAAACGCCATTTGTTTAAAGAATCGTATGACAAACAGGAAGGCAATTAAGAATCAGGTTTATTTTAATATTTTCCAATTTTAAATATCAAATATAAAACGAAACGAAAGTACAAAGCTCAATGGAGTGCTCAACAGCAGCATAATTTTCATTAAACAACCAACAAGTCAGATAACCAATATCATTAACATATAATTTTTTTCAAATTTGCATATTACTTATTATTTCTTGTATCCATTATATTTAGTGGTCTATTGACCAAATTACTTCTTTCAATTAATTAATCTTTTAATGAAATGAAAAAGTTAGTGCCGCGAGCGGGATTCGAACCCACGACCTTTGGCTAAATACGCAGGTGCTCTACCACTTGAGCTATCGTGACTTCGTACTATAAAGTATGATATTCAAGTGGTAGAGCAGCGGCGTATTTAGCAGAAGGTCGTGGGTTCGAATCCCGCTCGTGACACTGACTTTTTAATTTCAACCAAAAACCTTACATAAAAAGGTTAAATAATTGAAGGAAGTAATTTGGTCAATATACCATTAAATATAATTATTCAGAAATCGTGAGAAAAACCTGCCATTAACCATTTTTTTCATCTCAACTAAAAACCTTAACTAATTGTAATGTTTTAATTGGTAAAGCGGACCACGAAATTAGTGAATTTAAGAAAAACATTTTCTTTATCGTGCCAACGTTTCGATCTTTATTGAGATCATCTTCAGGGCTCAAAGTGTTTGTTTTCCTTGTAGATGAGCCATTCTTGTCTGTCGTGTTGAGAGTGCAGTTCGAGCGGCGACACACAAGAATGGCACAATCACACAGAAGACAAACACTTTGAGCCCTGAAGATGATCTCAATAAAGATCGAAACGTTGGCACGATAAAGAAAATGTTTTTCTGAAACCTACATCACACCAGACCGCATCTCACGATTTCTGAATAATTATCGATTAACGGTATCTAATCACTACACATTAAATATAATGGCCTGGATTCGAACCTTGGCCACTTCATATGTCGCCGTGAATCGAATCCTGATTACAAGACATTTGAGAAATGGCAAAAAGGAGGGAAAGTTCGAAAGGTTGTAGCTTGAGATCGGGAGTTAGTGTCCAAGTGAATCGAAGTCACGATAGCTCAAGTGGTAGAACAGCGGCGTATTGAGCCGAAGGTCGTGGGTTCGAATCCCGCTCGTGGCAGTAACTTTTTCATTTTAACCAAAATCTTACATAAAAATATTAATTAATTGAAAGAAATTATTTATTGTTCTGATATATAAACCGGACGCACAACCGACATATAAACGGGACGTCAGTTGTTTACCGTATTACCGTCATATTAGGCGATGTCGAATGATCGATTATAAAAGTAAGGGAGAGTAGGCGTACAGACCGGCGATAATCTGAATTTCTGGATTTAAATCATAACATTTTAACCCCTGTTATATTTTTATCTGCCTAACTTACGTGCAGTAAGTTTATACAAACGTTAAATACAGAGTTGTAAGTATTTATAGCGGGCGGGAATAGTTGTACCGTTCTGGAATGATTGAGAAACGCGGAAGTGTTCGGCAGGGTGCC